CTCGGGTCGGTCGAACCCCGGAACCCTTCGAGACCCCGCGGAGAGGCCGCGGCGCGCGGTTGGCTCGGGAGCCTCGGAAGGGGCGGCTGCTTCCCCGTGGAGCCCCGAAGACCTCCTTGTTCTCCGAGGACGAGTCTCCGCACCTCGGCCAGCTGGGTGGCGGAGCTCCAGCAGGTCGTCCCTCCACTCCAGCATCAGCTTCCCTTCAGTAAGATGAAGATAGCCTCACCTGGTGCAGGGTGCTGTGGGAAGTCAGAGGACTTAATTTATGGGGAATGGGGTAGTAAAACTAGGACTTGCTCAAGAAAGATCAGTCGTTGTGTGAACAAGAGGCACAGCGACGGCGGAGGTCACGGGTGAGGGGGATTTGTCAAAGGAGACCCGGAAAATCTCGGCAGCCGCAGTTCCCCAGCGGCTTCTGAAAATGATGATGATCATAAAACAATAGCTGATATTTGCGGATGGATTCTAGACACTGAATTAAGCGCTTTACGCGTATTCTTTGGTTTAAACCGCACCACTTGATCGGGTAATATTCAGCTCCACTTTACAGATGAGGAAACCGAGACACTGGGAAGTTGAGTAGTTTTATCAGGGTCGTGGGCCAGTATTTGAAGGACCCGGGGTTCAAAAGCAGATTTGCTAGACTCCAGAGCCCAGGCGGGTGTGGAGAGGCTGTGAGGGAATGGCCCCTTCTTCCTTGTGAGACGTAATGGATGAGATCCTTCTGATCCACAGAACCTTCGATTTCTCTCTTTCTCAAAAAGTAAAAGCAAAACCCAACAACAAAACAAAAACTTCTTGTCTCGTTCAAAAAAAATTAATATAAGCGACTCTTGGGATTCAGCAGATGTCCGGAAACTGGTTAGAGCGCTTAGGAGGTGCTACCCAGAGGGGCTATGACCCCGGTCCGAGAGCTGCATGGAGCAGCAGGGTGGCCCGGGGGTTGAAAACCCACTAAGTCAGAGCCTGTTGGCCCTAACACAAGACAGTCTTGACCCTCGGGCTCCAGGAGTGGAGACACCCAAAGCAACATCTCCTTTGGAAGAACCACAGGAAAACGTCTCACCCAGGACTGCCAATTTGGGAGGAAAGAAGAGACGTGGCAGGGCCCTGGTCTTCGAGTCACCACCTGCCCCGGTTTGTGCAGGCCGGCAGCTTTTGGCTCTGCACCTGTTCTGTGACAGCCAGTGACACTCCAAACCCCTGGTGCCTCTGGCCTGTATTGCCCAAGAAATTCATCTTCAGAAGTGACTTTAAAATAAAACAAAACAAAGCCCAAAATTCACCCCAAAATTGCTCATATGGTGCCCCAACCCAAAACCCAAGCATGGTGTCTTAATTACCAGGTTTTCCCTGGTTAGTACCCCCCCAAAATACTGCTTTAATTTTTAGAAAATGAATTGGAATCATTGCACCCTAAGAAGAGTTTGCTACAAGCGAGAGGAATCAAATTTTATCTCTTTCCATGTTACCTATATTTATTAAACATTTCTCATACACATCACCTGAATCAAGTCCCGGACTCTGAAACAAGCAACTGACCTGGAAACCACCGACCTGTTTGTAAAGAACTGTTAGGTAATTTTAAAACTTTAAGTAAAAGTAACTATTTCCACCCACACTCCCTACACACAAACCTTTTTGTCATTTCTAAGGATGTGGAAGTCATACTGGCCCTGTGACTAATGTCCAGGGTGGGTCAGGTCACCCTACTTGCCTCCCACATACTCTTCTCTGCCCCGGGACCAGGCACTAAATCCACATCCTGAATAGAAAGCTCCACGTGTCTTCAGTTTAGTGATTGCTCAGGGGCTGCCTTTCTTACCCAAAACCTTTGCTCCAGGTGCATCTCCCTTAGCCCTCTCGGAAGTATTGAAACGTTGGGGTGTACAGGGACTCAGGCATTGCCCCTACACCCTAGCCCTGCCGCTGCCCAGCCACCCTTGCGAGATGTTCCCTTCTCCAGAGGAAGGAGGTCGAGGTTGAGGGATGGGGGTGAAGTATGTGACTATGCTAAACGGATTTTAAAAAGAGGAAGGATTATTCTAGTCCACAGGCGTTGATTTTACTACGTCTTTGAAACCTCTGACATTTCCTTTCAATTATTTCTAAACGTTAAAGTGGAGGCTGGAGTGAAAATGGCTCTGTTTCCAGGAAAGTTAAGGCGCTCTATCCAGCTTGCCTGCCGTGTTGGGGAGTATTGCAGTTTGTATAGTTTCTGCTGTCTTTTGAA